TTACCATTCATGGCTTCTCACTACTTTGAGGGGAACCTTCAAATTTATTTTATTTTATTTCATACCTAGTACACTAGTCGCAGCTTCTTCGATTGGTGATGTCTTCTCCGAGTGTAAAGAGGGGATTCGAACTTATTTCTGAGTTATCTAAGGCACATTTTTAGCCAGTGCATTGTGAAGGTTATAGAAATCTTTGATATTCAATCTGCGAAAGGTGCCCTGGTGGTGAACGCATGACATGGGTAGGGGTCCATGTGAATGGCTTTGTGGTGCGCGTGGGAATAGGCCAGTAGAGCGTTACAGACGTGTGATGACTACTACTCCATCCCAAACACAACTACGCGAGCATGTGCTTCCTGCTGACCAGCGATTTGATTTGAATTTCACAGCTACTTCATGTACGTCTGGCAGTGATCATGCTGAACATTTAAGTAAGTTTTTGCTGCAGCAGCATGTGTTATTTCCAAGATATACGGGGAGATGACCTTAGTCCTTAGTGGTCCTCTTCAAAAATCTCTCTAATCTTTCATTCTAGAACGTCCCTCTGTGCTTTCATGTAGACTGCTCTAAAACAACATTTCATTTCCCATTAAAAGTAATCTGACGTCCCGGCTCCGATTTCCCTAAGCAAACAAAACAGAGCTGAGCAGGCTGCAGCAAGGTGATCAACATAGCAGGATTGATACTGCAGTTCATATAAGCTCAGCTTCTTCGTAGTTTCGTTTTACGGCAAAGTCCCAAAAGCGCAATGGCATGTTTGAAGTTTGCCCTGTTTTCTCCTAATTGCCCTCATATCCTAGGAACATGGTTTTTCTTCAGCGAATGAGGGCATGGCCCTTATCGCTTTCATTCTGTTCTAGGTATGAAAGTAAAAAAAATTCTGACGTCAGCAGATCCCACGCTCGAGCAGAAGTAGTAGACAAAATTTATGAAATGAGGTAGGAGCTGACAATCTCAGACGAAATTTTTCTTTGCATTCTCCTCATTGCGAAGAAAGAATGTTCAATCAATCCAAACTTAGTGAAAAGAGGAGATAGTGCCTTAGACTTTTCCGTTGAACAATGCTACTGCTTTTGTAAAGTTTACTGCAGTAATAAATAAACATGAACTTATTGTTAGTCACGTTCAAAAACCATTCACATAATGATTTTTTATGAGAAATGATGAGGAATGATGGTAAACGATAGAGAGTGTAGTCAGCGATAACACATTTTGTTGAAAATTTCCGCCTAGGCCAGGGGGTCTGCCACAGTTTCCGCACTTTTCCATTCTTCTAGCCTACTGTCACCCGATCTTCGCCAACTGAAATGAGACCGATCCCATTGGTTGCTCATAGAGAGCTTTCCATAAGCATAGCTATACACCAGGCGGACTTCAAGAGTTCAATCTCCGAAAGGCATTGAAAGCGGCATTTTGTTCCCAATACACCGTGTTTGCGACTGTTAACATTCACAAGTAAAAAAATACATTGAAATAGGTGCAAACAACAAAACTTACTCGGCACTGATGGCAATAGCACGAAGCAGAATATTTCCATGCAGGTTACCAATATGCCAAAAATGAGGCATGACACCTAAACAACCAAAAAATTTCCACAATGTGATGCATGACACCTAATGATGAAAGTGGAGTCAATAAAAACTAGACGTAAACGATTGAAAGAGAAAGTAAAGTAAGGTGGGAGAAACTGCTGAAGATCCATTAAACGAAGTGTGATTTCTACATCGTTTTGACGAGAGCACGTCGGTTCGTGTGACAGCGGCCTCGCGTTATCCCAGGCTCCGATTTGTTACCCAAACTCGTATATCTACCTAGCCATATGATCTGGCACGCATATTCATCGAAATATCTTTTCCGTCTTATAAACAGGGTTCTTAGGGTTAGGTTCGCTAGCGTGGCGAGCAATAGACACGGAAAACTTGTTGTGCACCGTGATAGCTGGCCAAGAAACGCCACGCTCTGGGGGCTTATCGAGGAACTGCCATCCGCCTAATTTTCCTGAACACGGCTGTGTTTTGACCCTGAGCATGATGCCGATATGGAGCCGCAGTGGCTAAAAGTTTAAAACTGAGGAGAAAAACGATTGATTCCACTAACTATGGGAAGAAAGGTTCAAGTTCAGCCCAGGCAATCGAAGGACTGCTCTTGATGAATTGGTTTTTCTTTGCTGTAGAATTTTGTTTTAGTAAGTGGTGTTCACATCGTTCAAATGAAATCATTTAAATGCATTCAAAATTAAATCAAGTAGTTAAGTCTGACCACCTATTGTCTCTGATTGCTTGCCACCTTGTTTCTGTATGAAAATCACCTGATCGCAATTCCAGAGCCCAGACTTGTGGAAATTGACAATTCGACGACAATGCGGATTTCGACATGACCCGCCCACGGCACCACGCTCCGATGGGTGGCACTGTCCCAGGGAAAAATTCTTCACTGGCTTACTGAATTTAGCAGTTGACAAGTAACAAGAAAGTATGGTGGCATCCAAAATTGGGTGCCAATGTCCCATGCGCCAGTTATAGTGGCACCCACCGGTGGGTGTCATTGTCGTCAAAAGGTTATTAAGGGCTGTCGCCTCCCTCTCTTAAAGGAACTCAAGATCTATCATCACCGACTGACTGAAGGGACAACAAAACTGTGGCAAAGAGATGAAAAGTGGCCTCCATCTCTCATACTCGGACATTGAAGTTAATGTCCCTGGGATTCGACTGTGTCCCATGACTAGATCTACGACTGCAGAAGTTTCAAGTGAGTGAGGTAGTAATGCCTGATCGGTTAGAGCAAATTGGATAGCCGAAATCACTAAGCCTTGCAATAGTTAGAAAACCAGGAAATAATGCCATCATTTTAATGAACTTATAATTAAATCGAGTAATTAGGTCTTACCTATGAACCCCTATTGTCTTTGTTTGATACCCCTTTCCGATCCCTCCTTCTAGGAGTTACACTTACAATGAGGTATCGAGCGAATAAATAAATAAATAAATAATCAAGTAAATAAATAACCTGTGTTCGAAGTCCACAATGCTTAGTGGTGTCCGTTGCTTGGAAAATGCGTAGCATAACTGCCAGTATGCCCGAAATGCCTTATCATTCATGGTACCAGTGCGAAGCTTATCTGGATATTATGTCATCGAACGCAATCGACTTCGATCAAACTATTGACGCACCTGATTCTGGCGCTTCGTGAGTCACTTTTGTGACGCTTAATGTTTTTGACTCAGCGCACAAAATGCGCTGCAAACTTTGATCTCCCCGTGACTTGGGGGCCATGAAGCTTCCTAGCAAACTTCTACAAGAAAGCTGTTTCTCTGTATTGTTCTATTGTTCATGCTCTCAAATTCGCTCTTTCCCGAACAGGCCAGAAAGGTGGAACACGAAAATTGAATGTTTTAGAATTATTATATTTATGCCTCTACCAGCCGTAAAATTCCAATTGGTAAGATGGCTATGGTTCCCAACCAACTAAAATATCCTGTTTTGTGAGGCATGAGTCAATTAGAAGAAAGGATCTTCCTGTTTGTGAAGCCAGCCGGTTCATCACCATAGCCTTACAAAGCTTTCCCAGGGACTCCAAGTTTGATTCTGTCCCGGAGTAAAATTGGGAATAGAAGAGGAAATTACTACTCCGACAGTGTAGTGGCAGGTGTATAGCAACTCAACTTGTCCGCAGGCAGAGTCTTGTCTTGCCACCTACCATGAGTATTGCCATCCTGGATCCTGTATTCCCATGAGATTTAAGCGCTCTAGGTCCAGTGGAACAGGAGTTATAAATTTCCGGTGGGACAAGCACACACACATACACACAAGTACACCAACAGACACACTCAGCGGACTTTATAAGTAGGATCTCGAGCATCGTTTCTCCCAGCACGTTGAAGAAAGCTTTTAGCCAGTCGAAGTACAATTCCTGCTTTTCTCTTCCCAGCCGGGTCTGGTACCAATTAATGAACCCCCCGGAGAGATAGAAGGCTTGGTTGGCCTAGGCGGCTACTGATCCAGGATTCAAACTCGTCGCCATGCACGTGTGATAGTGCACCACTTGCCACCACACCACCTACGCCATTCCAGATGCAATACCTCCTGAAAGCTTGAACACAAGATTTAAACCAAAGAACCAACCTCCTGACCTTCACCAGCGTTGAAGCCCCACACCAATTAGCGAGCATAGAGGGGCAAGTGATAATTTAGTCTCAGGAAATAAGTGGGATCTCGAAGTTCAAAAAGGAATGAACGGCAGAAGTTTGCTTATGACGGCCCTTTCTCGTGGGCTAGTACTTTGATGACGATATCACTACCGTTATACTCTTCCAGTAGGCGCTTCCCAAATGTTGTGGAATGATCGACCAGTAGATCCAAGAAACATCCAGGTATTCGACGACGACGATTTGTTCGAATCTTTGACCGAGTAAAGCGATTCTATTATAATAAACCTGTTCTACAATACGAGGCAACCATCAGCTTACTCCTCTGGCAAACATGATTCCGGCACTTTCTCAGCATTACTAGCGAATTCAGGTAGCTTGCTGAGAGAGCACTCTCGTTCGAAACCATGAGTAAAGCACCTCAGAACAAAAGACTAGGTATAAGGAGGCGGCCAATATATGTCAGAGCAATTTCAAACTGAAGCCAAATAGAAGGAAAGTATAAAACAGAAGTTAAATGTTTGAGATTAAAAAAAAGGAGGCAGCGCCTCCGCAATAAAAGCTCGTTCAAATTCACGATTTCTAATTCATAAAGCCGATTTAGACACTAGGTTTTTCTGAAGTCGTGCAAACAAATGGGAATATGCAACGAAAGTACAAATGTTGTTAAATATTCAACTCATCAGCTGAAATAAAACGCTCCTGCGCAAAAACGCGACGCAGCCGCTTGCTGTCTGGCAATGTGCGTTCTGCAGTTCTGTTTGGCTCAATCAATTTCGCCCTTGCTTGCCTAGTACTATTTCACTGCTAATCCTAAGCAGTAAGTAGTTACATCGTATTTTTCTTGAAGATCTCATGTCTTTGAATTGTGGTGAGAGGGTGGTCGACAAGGAATATTTAGCCCTTCTTGGTGAGTACGCTTGGTATCAAAGTAAGTGACTTATTGTTGCTTTTAAAACATTTTTCTTTCAGAGAATAAACTTCGAGCTCTGAAAGATCCTAAGAAAGCAACCGCGAAACAGTTCCTAAGCGATATCGCCACTTATAGGGACGAACAGGTACATTTTTTTTCTAATGAAGCTAGAAAAGATGTTTCAGTAACACGCAAAGATGGGGTTATTACCATTTCCCTTACTGGGAATGGGAGTAAGGACTGAGATCCAGTGGCTCTTCGAAGAGATTATTCTACTAATTACCTTTTTTCTTTTATTTGTTCACGTACTTCGTTCGTAACCTGATGTATTTATTTAAGCTTTTCAAGTTAATCACAGCGGACACTACCGCTAAGACGGGTTTTGACGACGATTTTGCTGACGTTCTTATTTCACCGAGCTACTTGAGAAGAGTTATCGCTCCACAAACCTGCGCTATCAATAAGCAGGAACTTGTTCATCTGGTGAAGAGCGATCACGTTCAGGTATGCCAGTGTTGAAATGAAACTACTACCGATATGTGTATTAGTTGCGCTATAAGACTGGGATTACAAGAGAGCGTTAGAAATTTGGGTTTTCATACAGACACCGCTGATGCCGTCTCATAATAGGGTTCAGACTATGTCTTTTTGTATCATTCGTTCTCAAGAATGAAGAAAAATAGTAGAATTTTGTTTTTTGGTGAAAAATAGCTCTCTTGCATTCTAAATGGCGATGCAAACTGTATACGGTGTATAGACAGTAAAGGTGCGGTTACCAGTTACCATTTGATTACTATCCGAATAAAACACGTTTCAACACTTATGTCAATGTAAGAGTAATGAGAATAGCGTATTCTAATTGGCCACTTTACTTCCAATTTTCAGAAGTTGTACGAATCTTTGAACGCATCTAACGATATTGGGAAGGAAGAAATTGAAGTCGCCAACCGGACAGCTGTAGAACAGACAAAGGAGAAACAGGAATAATGGCTTTACCATTAGATTTACCTGTAGTATGTGGTTGTACTGCTTTTCGGAAAACCTCCATTAGGATGTATTTCTCTTTCATGGTGACAACGAACTTCATTTTATGGAAACAAAGTTTCTTCCTTTTCCCGAATCTAAAGAGATTCTAATTATTCGTGAGAGCCCTTCGATTTCCAGTGGTGAGTTATTTGCTACAGTAATGCGGACGTTTTTGTAATCTCTTCTTCCTTATTTAGAGTGTGCAGCTGAGTTGTCGGCTGCGATCCACACCTGTTTGATTAATGCTTATGGTCGCCTGCAGTTTATAGAAGAAAACAAAGTGGTTTGCCTACCGAAATTGCTATCAGAAACAGTGAGTGTGATATCAAAGGCGTCTTTTACTTATGCACTGCTTTTTTTTTAACTTAATCTTGCAGTCGATAAAAAGCGGTCATTCTATAGAACTTTCATGTGCGGACGTGTCCCCTCTAAACCCTGGAGGAAGTTCAGCAGTATTAGCTACCTGGTAAGCACTTTTTAGAACGTTTTGGTGTTTGATATTCACTACAAAAGCTTCAGCTGGGTTGAACTTAATGAGCACTTCTGTCCTTGTCGATATTTCGGTGCTATGTTCAGAATCTCACCAACCCTTCACATCGAAATGACTAGTAAGGTAAGCATTGTAAACCAGTAGATACTTACATATGTTGTTTTGTCTTCCTACCTGTTTTCCTATTTCTACTTTCTTTTCTCTTCTTTTTCTTCAGTCTAGTGAAGAGCTTTAATTCCATTTTGGTTGCAGGTTGAAACCTCAGCCCCGGTTGCGTGTTGTACCTTGGTTGAAAAGGTCACTGGTGGAGCAGAACATAGGTACTGGATAAATTATGAGTCTGGGAAGTGTGTAACTATATATGAACTAAAGGTAACTTACGTTTGGATAAATTGTTCATAATATTGCGTTTGATTATGACCGATTTTTCCTTCTTTCTTTGCCGCAAGCAACAATTGTTCATTTTTGAATGAATCACGTAACTGCTACACTTCTGTTTTTGCTGTAATCTGCTGTTGTAATTTTTGCTGTTTTCAGCAAGCCTCTGACGAAGTTGTCATCTTGGAGGACCCCTCAAGTGTATTTCCTGAAATAACTTTGGATGATTTCCCAGGCACTGTAATACGATCGACGAGCGCCTCCTCAGAGAAACTTGAATGGAGTGCTGTAGGCTTTGATACAGGCCGCGTCTTCATTTCTGTGTTCATTAAGGATACTAGAAAAGTTAAGAGGTAACATTTCTAGACAATGCACTTCCTGGAAAGTTTTTTTTTNTTTTTTTTTGTTCTAAGAATTTTGAAGGTTTTCTCGTACTACATTTTCAGGAAGCAAATAAAATTTTCCGGACCAATATCCGTTGTTGAGTTCGTACCGTACCTGGCTTTTCGCACACCAAGAATCAGTGAATGTGAAGGGTCTGATCCGTTACCATGTTATGAGGAACGGTTTCTGGTAGTATCTTCCACCCTCGGCCCTGTCGCCATTTGGAGATGTGTCTATGAGGTCGGTATGTTCTCTGAGAAAATATATCATCGTTTGTCACCGATAATCCAAAAATTTTCTTGGTTATATCTATGGAGTAGTCTTTCAAGAATGACGAGCTGAGCTGGAACAATGAGTTCGTCTTGTCACAATCCGAACAGTTTGATACGATTACTTCAGCCTGCATTATTAATGGCAATATAGCCATTGGAACGTACTGCGGGGTAAGTTCGTCAGTAGTAAAGAATGTAGTCCAGCTGAGCTTCAAATTTCAGAAAATTCTGTTCTATTCGTCTCCTTACGATCTCCTTTGCCATGAAATTGCATCAATGACTCAAATTCATGCTCCGATTGTGAATATGAAGGTAATGTCATACATACGTAGGAGTATCATTCGAAAGGATCACTGTTCGTAATGAAAACTTCATACTACACATGTTAATATTTCGAACGCCGGTTCAGAACCTGCTTTCCGAATCCAGGAGAGAATTCGTTGAGAAATGATTCGGGGTGTTTTTGAAGGCAGAAGTATTCAGCACGCCCTGTACTGTCGACGACAGGCCAGTGCTAAACGCACCCACTAGGAGGTGGAGAGTTTAGAAGAACTGGTGCACCCAAACGAAATGCACAAGTTTACAGTATGTATTTCTACCTTGACTCTATGGAAGCGTTCATTATGGGATAGTTACGATTACAAACTTCGTCCCTCACAATAGTTGCAACAGAAGAGAAGTTCATCATCTAATCAACCAAAACGAAGACTTATTTCCTAAGACTTCTGACCAACTACGACCGAGGTTTAGTTCTGTTTCTGCCCTATATAGTTCTGCCATCGGATAACGGATGGGTTGTAGTAGCTGAAAACTCTAATGGAAAATACTTCAAAAAAAGAAGCAGGTTCCCGAGGTCTTTTCTAAAAATATGATTGTCTAACATTAATTTTTAGGTCTTGGATCACAAAACCTTATGTGTACTTTCAACCGCTGGTCTACACACCGTCACTCGTTCAGAGACTTAGTGAATTCTGACATTTTGTATATAATCTATTTATTGAAATCAATGAATTATGTTATCATTTTCTGAGTAATTTTTACCTTGGACTCGTTCAGTCGAGATTTTCTATCTTCATTTAATGTCCTTGTTTGATAGTGTCCCAAATCGAACGCATGAAATATGCGATTGCAACTGCTCCCGCGTCTGGCCGAGTTTGTACCTTAAAAACATTTTTGCCTAATGCCTTCCTGCTTCTACGAAACAAATCAATGATCTTGAAACTCTACATTCAATAGTTTTCCCCTCCAACAGCATTCCTTTTTTAGATCTCCTGCTGTGAAAAGTAAAAAACAGTATCGTTGTAGAAATAGCTGTGAATTAGTTCCCTAGGAGCTAACTTTCACTAGATTTCACAGCTGGAAATCATATCGGACAATGAGGAAGAGCAGTCTATTTGTTAACATTTCATTCGTGGAAAAAAGTTCACTTACCAACCGTCTCACTCATTTAAGGAGTTACTTTAACCTGGTCTCCTGATTAATGTGTTCTGCATTACTAACCACCTTGACTTGTTACCCTATGAACATTCTAAATGTAAACCATCTTATGTAGTTGTGGCTTCTGATCTCTTCAACACGAGCGACGCGCTCACAGAGCGTCTCGTGCACAACAACAGAGACAGCTTGCTTAAGGAATATACTACTTCTAAATAAAAATCTCTAACCCAATCGAGGTTTTGAGTCGATTCTAGGTGGTTGTTTAGCGGTTAAGTGTCTTCTTCATTTGGACATTTCTACTAATCTTTCAACAGTACCTCTTTCGCGGTGTAGCTAGCTCGTCCTGCGCGTGCTTTCATTTGGGCTGTAGATTGAGCTGCTTTCGAAGCCGCCTTAAAAAGGAATAGTTTAAGTGTCTGTTCCGCATAAAGTATAGATATCAAGGCTCTCTATAAGAAGAGTAGCAAACCTCAAGTATAATATCCCAGTTGTTCTCTCCACTCTTGATCTTTCCGATAGCCGCATGAACTGAATCGACCTAAACCTGGGCTAAAGGTGGACACCTCGGTTTAACAGCCTTTTTTATTTTTATTCTGAATTTAATCACCAGAGTACGATCCCCAGGTTTTGCTCCGCCATATTTTTGAACTGTTTCGGATGCCCGCATGAGTGCGCTGGCGAATTCCTTGGATGTTATTGACGTTGGGAATGATTCGGAAGCTGCGCTAAGCATAAGAGCGTAGAGCTGGAAAAACTGTTATTTTTCATCGTAAAGGAAGGCATAGGAAGCCCTAACCGCGCCACCAGTGCCTCCAATTTCCTGCTCAAACACTTCAGAGAGAATGTGCAGTAGTTGATGCATGTCCTTGAATTCCATGTCCTTCATCCGCTCTTCAATTGCTAGAAAAATTTTGAACCTGATTTATGAGTATTGCACGGTGAGCCCCAACTAATTTAAAAACTATTTGTCAAGCAAACACCATTTCGTCATTGTATTGCAACCAAAGTTGCTTTCCACAAATCCCTTCGTGCTGCATAATATGATTACCTCTTGCGGCTTGCGCAAAGGTCGAACCACAATCCCCGTCACCAGCAGCACCGTCGAGTGCGTTCAGTTCAGCCTCCACTTCCTTCATTTTGCTGCATACGGCAGACAGGCACTTTTTAGCTAGTTCGGTCTGTTCTGAAACTACTTATAAGTATTCTCCCTTCACATTTTGAAAGAAGTACGGAAACAGAGACTTCTCGACGTATTTTAAGTCTTAACCGAGAAATCTACAAAAATAAGTGGTTTAACTGTTGCAAGCACGAAACAACTTGCTGTCATGAAACATTTGCAAGTATTTTGGACTAGTTTTTTTTACAACTTTCGCATTCGGATCAACTTTTGATTTGATGTGCGGTATGGAAACATGGCATGAAAAGGCCTTCCACTGTGTAGTACATAAAAATATCTCATCACTATGCATCCGTTAACTCTAAGAGTTTGCCTCAATGGTCTAAGCAAATTTGTTCTCCAGGTGGTTTGCCAAATACATCTAGTTAGCACTCTTAAGAATTCGCCCAGATTTTTTTGCCAGCCTGTTCAATATTACGCTCTTATCTCTTATATCTGCATGACCGACTTGGAGAATTTTAAGCACAATCGCAGAAGAAATTACCTTTTGTGAATTGCGCTCCTTTTGATGCTGGCTCTAGTGTAATTATGCAACCTTTATGGGGTGCCTCCTCTAATTTACCGATTTTCTCTGCTGCTTTCCATCCTGGCGCAAGCGTTGGTGCGTCTAAATGAAAGAAAAGAGAATGATATGGAAAGTTCAGAACAGATCTTGGCAAACGAACCGATGTAGTTCAGCAGTTCTTTGTCGAATACTCGTAATACAGTTAGGCTGATTCCATGTCCATCTAATGAGGTCATATAGGGCCCACAAAGAATACGTGCGATTTTGGTGCCTTTTTCACCTCAAATACTACGATACAAGTCGTTTCACGGAAGAACTTCATAAATTGATTTTTCGCTGACTGATCGATCTCTTGATCTGTGTGTTTAGTCGAGTCGGATGCAAGTATCTCGCAGGAAGTCGACAAAGTGGGAGTGTAAAGCCACGTTAAACTGCAAAAGTAAGCCACTTCCTCTAGTTTCCACCCCCTAACCCCCCTCCCCCCTCCCTATATGTTTTTTTATGACCTGTACTTCTCTTTGGTTCGATTAGGGAAAAATGCCGCTGAAGTAGAAAAAGCAGAACTCGAGCCCATCCTCGATGTTAACAAAAGTAATGTAGAATTAGGAGAGTTAGTCTTTATGATGAATGGAAGCAGCCGCTTTGATGAGTTATCGAAATCGCATAAATAGTCAGGGCCATTATAGCGGGTCTTTTGTGCATTTCTGGTGTAAATCTGATAACCCTTTTGAGGGGGTGATCTAAGGTCGAAGAATTGGTCAAGGAAATTTCCTCTTCTGTAATGTAGTTGCATGCTAGAATAGAGTAGGCACTTTTCACATATAAGATGCAGAAACAAATGAAAAGAGTAGGACCGAAACTCACGGCACCATTTTATAGCTTCGCTTTTGATGACGCTCATCTCTATTTGAGATACACCACCAAGGTTATTGATGAGAAGTATTATTTCTTCGTCTGAAAGTTTTTCTTTTTTCAAAGTTAAAACAGCTTTTATAATCAGATGTTGTAAGTTTATAGTTGCAAATATCAGGGCGAAAATAAGAATGCATACGTTTGAGCATGAATCCTTTAAAACTCGCAAAATCATTCACCTTTTATGAACTGAACTGTTTCCTGTAACCTCGACATAACCATATCCACAATTTGATGTGCATCACGTACAATTTCTCGACGGCAACCAGGCTCTCCATGAATACCTAGCCCAACTTCCATCATATTGTTTGGCATTTCGAACATCTTGCCGTGCCCTGGTACACTGCATGGGTATAGGGAGACACCCATGGTGCCTAAAAAACAAATATAGGCTACCTAGTTCATGACAAAACAGTTGGGTCACCCGTGCGTGAAACCGCCTTTACCCAACGCTGAGGGCTACAGTGGAGAGGATAAGGGGTAACCGACCTACCGATGCTTAGAGACGGATCTAGGCGAAGGATATAGTTTTTACCTGAGTCTCAGGAGGAGAGGAGCATCGGGGTAGGTGAGATGATAACCTCGCGCAAAAAGCTTTGATGTGTATGAATTGAACATTCAGTTTACTCGCCCACCGGTACTCCTTCCCTCGTAACACTGTTTGAAGAAATTATACCCGATTAGGGAACAATCTTGAGTACCGCTTAAGCTAACCTCCTTACATACGCTTTGGCGCTCAATGTTGATAAGAAGCCGAGGCCCCCAACTACATTATCATCTCCAAGTTTCGTATATACATACATAGCACGATGCTAGTACAGTAAATCGGTGTTGGTACACACTTCACTTCACATTACTCTCTCCACTCCGCGGTACTGTCTCTACTCCATTAACCGACACACCAAGTTATGCTTTATAAACAAGAAGGATTGTTTTCCACTAGTTGTGTTATGGTGTTGAAATTGACCTCATATAATCAATTGAAAATTTTGAGAGACGGCACTACAGGACTAGTAATGATGCTTTTGGGCTGTAATTTCCCGTCATCTTCACTCTACTAGTAATTAAACCAGTATGCACTAGGAATGGGAGAGTCTCGAGAACACGAATATTTCCTTCACGCGGGACTTTGATTTGAATGAAGATTTACGAATAAGAGGATACTTATCTGCATGGTCATTAATGCGTTTCGCCATAGCTTCAATTTGTTCCACCGTGTGTTTGCCAGACTCTGCCATCGCACCGGCCACCTTGAAAAAAAAGCCGTTAACGTCTGTTTATACATTTTGTCGCTTCACTTTGAATCTTGAGACTGCATATATTAATGCTCTGAAAATGAACCCGAACGAAATTTCTAGATCGCTCAACAAATCTAATTCCTAACCAATACGAGCGCAGTTTTTACCTCGAGAATAGTGTGCTTCTTGAACTTACTTTGAGAACAAGTACTGCAGCAGCAAGACCTCTCCGCCCAACTGACGACATAGCACTGTCGATAGCTACGTCGTCAGCTATAGTAACTACCTGCATGATAATGATTGTATTTGACATTTATCTTTGTAATGTGGAAAACCTACCCGCACATTATGTCCGGCTGCCTTGTAACGCTCTGCAGCAAGACCAAAGTTAAGTCGATCACCGGTGTAGTTAATGATGAAGAGAATTGATCCCCCTATTAAAGTGAAGCGGTTGATATCGCAGCACAAGGAGGTGACTGCTTTTCCCAAAGCAGAGTTCATGTTTTCAACCCTTATTTGTGGAACATGGTCATCTGTTCCAATGGACAGTTTAGCTTACGTGCTCAAGAAAAAGTGTATTCTGAGTAATTCTAGGAGAATTTAGTGAAACTGTAGTCTAGTGGCAAGGAACGGCTACTTTCGATTGCCTCTAGAAGCCAGTCGAACTTTCTACGACAACACTTTGCGGGAATGTAGTACAGGAACATACTTTTAATGAAGTTCTTTTTGAGTTACTTGAGCTACTGTTTGTAGGAGGATTACCCTCTGCTCTGCTACCATCTGTTGCATTAATTATAGAATTGAAGCTGCGATTATACCTTTTGTAGTAGTTGAGTTTAAAGCCGCACTGACGTGTCGAGACGGTGGAGAGGCGAAAACATTGCCAGCTACAGCGGCAGTAAGCATTCCAGGTCCAATATAGCCTTAAGAGGAATTCGATTATGATCTGGCAAGCACATTGCAGTAATTCCATCTAACAACAAGCAAAGTAGCTTGCATTTCAACTTCGATTGCATCTTATCATCAGGATATCCTTAGCTCGCAATTTACCTGCTGCGTAGGGTTCATGTCCCGATCCGCCGCCTGCAATGAGTGCCACCATGCCCTTTGCGCAGTAGTCAATGTAATCAGCTCGTAGAGTTACTCGACGACAGTTCTATAATCCAACGTGCTGATACCATTCGATTACGAAGTAGTTGAGATCGATGTTTAAATTTTTTAAAGACTCAGTACTACTTTACCCTGTAATTTAGTTGCACATGCATTCTGCGCTGCCGTTGGGACCAGCCCCTCTTTCGAGATGAGAAGTATTGTAAAGCAAATAGTCTACATTAGCCATGCCAGTGCTTGCTTTTGGATTTGTTGAGTTAGCCCTTGCTAGTTGTTTTCAATATTAACCTCCAGGGCGCAGTGATCTTCTAATTGTTGTTAATACGGCCGCTTTGCGAATCCCAAGAATGATCCATCTAGAAAACAGATGGGCTACACCATGAACATAGGCTAATTCATAATTGATATTGCCTTCCTTTTCGGGGCCTGATCCTACAAATTTGTCAAAGTTCTCAGATACATGTAGAATACATTGTTTTAAAAGGCAACAAAATATTCGAATTTTTTTCGCACTCACTCTTTGGGAAACACTTCTGGCATAAAGCGGTCTTGGGATCTTGCCATAGATGAAAGGAAGTACGAAAATAACTTAAAGTCTCCGACATAAAGTAAGAGATGGATAGTGGAGCAGAAGTTCCTTGTAGCTAAGTGCAAAATGACTGCGACCGTAAGCGAAAAAGTAGTTTAGAAATGCTAATTTGAGAGTAGCAATAAGAGCAAGAGAATGACATTGTCCTCGATTCGTAAAAAAAACTAACCTTATCAAAGGTGATGTTCTCCGTTGCATTGACCAAACCATTAAGGGCGTCATCAACAGCATTTACTGGATCGTTCACAAATTTCTTTGTAACAGTTGACATTGTTCGAGCAAGAATGAGTAGATCGTTTCGAGGGTGCTTCGATGCAAAATGAATAGATCGACTAACTACTAGTAACGCGGAAAGCTTTAGCATGAGCGAGATAGAAAGCGAACCGAGCACAATAACCGCTGTTCATTACAAGTGTAAGATTTGTGAACCGCATTCGATCAATACGAAGTACGCAGTACGGCACATAGGGCAGCAGTTTTTGTGTAAACTGCTTCGGTATTTACTCTGATCACTGCTCTATTTTGAAGACAATGGTTATTATTAACATTCATGAACTAAGTGCTCCTGATAATAGCTAGCTATCCATTTTTAATCCTTTAAGATAATAGAACCAATACTACTCAATCCAATGTATTCTACTGAAGGTATTGTCCGTCTTTTGGGGAGATCCGTAAGCTTATCGAATGAACATCAACATTTCTTAAGGGGTTTCCTTGTTTCCAAGAGCGTTTCCTGTGATGAGCGAGCTGGGGGCTGCAGCACTGCGTCCTTCCCTGCCTGCGCTCTGCTCCATACTTGTCGATGGTAGGACGTTTGGGAGCATTTCTGTAGAGCTGTCGTGTCCTACTCACAAGGTTTCTACACTAATCCGCAAAACTTTTTTCATTGTGATCGAGCGACTGCGACTCTTCATTATTGAGTGGCTGACTTCTGCTCGATTTTATGGTGTGCCAAGTGCGCCCCATGTTTTGTGACACCTCATTGCATGTCGCATGGGCAATCGTGTGCGCGCCGGGTGTTCGTTTCAGGACTGATGTGAGGATGTTTGGGCTCTCATCTGTCGGCTGCCAGTCTTTGTCGACTCTGATTATCGCTGTCACTTTGCCTACTGTTTGATTCCTGGCCATATTGAAGGCTTCAGTGGGGACTGTAGGTTGAAGGGGTCTTTGTCTGGGAAATTGACCGAGAATTTATTGATGCCTCATCGAAAGCGATCTCCGATTGATATACCCGTTGGATGTACGGGAGAGCGAGAGCCGACGGAAAAGGGCTTTGGCACATTTATTCCTGATAGGTCACATCTCCTGTTGGTAAGCATGTAGTTGGGGAGGGGGCACGCATAACAGTGTTAGGGTATTAAGGAATTAAGAAGGTGTTACATGTACGAACACGAACATTCAATTTTTCAACTGACATGCACTAAGCCTTAGAAGGGAAAGAAAAATCGAGTCGAGTTTCCAGTTTTTCGCACACGGTGCACGAGGTAATCATCCCATCCACCCCGGCGCACCTACCCTTCTAAGGCTTAGTTTCAAAAAACTAGGTACATTTCCTTTCCCTAAAACCCGCATAAAGTACGAACAGCGTTTGCGCTGGCTGCACGCGATGCGTGTCGCAGAAATGCAAAGGGCTTCTGGAATGGGAAAGTTTCGATGAGTGAATATAGACATCCTACTTTATATAATTCGCTAAGTGTGTCTGTTGGTGTGTCGGTGTGTTTGTGTGTGTGTCTGTTGGTGTGTCGGTGTGTTTGTGTGTGTGTGTGTGTGTGTGTGTGT